GTTGCTGTATTATATGTTATCTTCAAATTAGTTGTTTAGATTACCAGATAAAAGCATGCAAAATTGGTTTTTAAAAAAGTATGGGAAATTAAAAAGGAGAAAAAAATTTAAGTATTAACTGTTCACTTTCAGTAGACCAGCAGGTATCAGCAGAACAGTTATCCAAGCTAGCTATCCTGCATGTATTCATAAATACATCTTTTCATTTCTTTTGTCCTTTTCCTCCTCCCAGTATTTTCTTTCCCTTTAACACTATTTATTATACCTTTCAAATTTTATTTTTTTCAGGTTCTTACACTAGCAAGACAATATAATGTTTGCACATGCAGGTCTGATTTATTTCACTTCCCAGTGTGGTCTCTAGTTGCACCCACTTACTTATAAAAGCTTTGAGTTTTATCTTTGGGGGGGGGCAGCTCAGCCTGCCCTGAGGACGGGGCTGGCACAGCATGTGGTGCCAGGGATCTAACTACTGTCCCTGCACTTTGCCTAAGCTTACCTAAGCAGATGCTTTAGACCATTGAGCTGTCTCTCCTGCCCCAAGTTTATCTTTTTTTTTTATAGCTGAGTAATACGCCGTAAAAATATCGCATCTGAGGAACACAGTTCCTCAGTTGATGGGCATTTGGGTTGTTTTCAGTTCTTCTGGAAAAATACCCAAGAGAGGAACCAGTGGGTTGATTGGGACCTCTAATCCTAGTTTTTTGAGGAATTTTCACACTGATTTCCTTAGTGGTTGTACCAGTCTGCACTCTCACCAACAGTTGAGAAGGATTCCTTTTTCCTCACAACCCCTCCAACATTTGTTATTGGTTGGTGATAGCCATTCTTTCTGGGGTAAGATGGAATCTCAGTGTTGTTTTAATTTGCATCTCTTGAATGACCAGTTGTTATGGTTTGTGTCTAGGTGTCCCCCCAAAGCCTCATACAGTCTTGGGGTGGCTTCTGAAGTTTGTGATTGATTACTGTGGGTGTGGATGCTGCATCTGCCCAGGGGCAGGTAGTTTGCATTACAATGTAAGGTGGGAAGAGAAGTTAGCAGCTTGAGCTGCTGCTCCTCCTCCCTTGTGTGCTTGCTCTTTGCTGCCACCATGAAAGGTTGCTTTCTGCTATGTGCTGCTCTGCCTTGGACCCAGCTGAATATGGACTGAAACCTCCAGTAACTGTGAGCTAAGTAAACTTTTCCTTCATTTTGAGTGTTGGGTATTTATCCCAGCAATGAGAGAAGAGTAACTAAAACACCAATGATACTGAACTTTTTTTCATGTATTTATTTGCTATCTGTATATTGTCGTTTGTGAAGTGTATATTCTTCTCAGATGCCCATTTTTGAATTGGGTCTTTAAATTTAGGGGACCTTTTTAAAAAATTCTTCATGTGTTCTAGATAAAAGACCTTTGTCAGACATATAGTTAGCTATAATTTTTCCCAGTTAATGGGTTTTCTTTTTACTCTTATTAGTGATTTCTTTTTTTTTTTGGCAGAACTGGGGATTGAACTCAGGCCCTTGCACTTGCCAGGGAAGGGCTTATTCTATTACGCCATCTCCCAGCCCAATTAGTGATTTCTTTTGACATGCAGAAACAGAAAGATACTCCCTGCTCCCCTAGATAGGAAGAACCAACATTGTGAAAATGGCCATACTCCCAAAATTGTTATACAGATTCAATGCAATCTCAACTAAAATACCATTAGTATACCTCACAGATCTAGAGAAAACATTCCTAAAATTCATCTGGAACCAGAAGAGACCCAAAATATCAAAATCGATCCTGGGCAACAAAGGAAAGGCAGAAAGCATCACAGTTCCTGACTTGAAATTGGACTACAAAGTTACTGTGATAAAATTAGCATGGAATTGGCCAGAAAAAAAAACCAGACCTGAAGATCAGTTGGAGGGATGTTTGTTCATTTGATTTTGTTTTTGTTTTTGCAGTACCAGGGATTGAACTCAGAACCTTGCGCTTGCCAGGCAAGCACTTATTCTAATGAGCTATCTCCCAGCCCAAACTATCTAGGATTCTTTTTTTTTTTTTTTTTTTTTTGCGGGTCCAGGGAAGCGCTTATTCCACTGAGCTATCTCCCTGGCCCTGGGGGGATGGATTACAAGATGCAAACACAACTACAAACACACTCAGCCACCTTATTGGGGAAAAAAGATAGCCTCTTTAATAAATGGTGCTGGAAAAGCTGGCTTTCCACATGCCAGAAGCTAAAATTAGGCCCATGTCTACCACCATGCACAAAACTACAGTCAAAATGGATCAAAGGATTTAAATAGTAAAACTGAAGCACTAAATCTTCTGAAGGAGAAAATAGGTACAAATCCTAAAGTCATAAGGGTATGTAGAGAGTTCATGAACAAAAATCAAACTGCATGGGAAATACTTCAAAGAATCAATTCAGATTTCATCTTTTTAAATCTTTATTCTTAGAGCCTACTTACTTTTTCTTTATTATAACACCTTTCTTACAATCTGAATAGCACCCATCATCTGTTACTACACCAGACATGTGTCAAACACTTTAACAATATGAAGTAGGCACTGGGCTTGTCCTCACTGTAGAGAAGAACAGATGAACCACAATGAGATGCCCAGAGCCCATGTGGCCAGGGCTAGCATTGAGGGAGAACCTGTGTTCTGTATGCAGCACTATTGGTACTACATTTCTGTAGCCCAGAATTCCACACACTGTGAGTTTCTTCTTTTTTCTTGTAATTGAAATAATTCTTGTTCATTCTTTCAAAGTAAAATTACATATA